TGTCGGCAGGGCGGTCCTGGCAGTTCGCCCGAGACTTCCTCATCGTTCACGGTCCCTCAGCTTGAACAAACAACCACGGCCTGCATGGATGGATGCCGCTGGTTTCACAACAGCGGCTCTCGCATGTGCGCCACGCACGTGGGTCTCGAAGTCCCCAACCTACCACACGGATGCAAAGCATGCCAACTTCAAAATGGGTATATCGCCTAACGCCGCGCGCATTAGGCCTAATAGCTTCCATCTGTCACACATAGTGAATGCAATTAGTTTTCAAAACTCGACTTGGGAACATGCACCTTCACCTTCAGCGTTTCGAACCGTCACAGAGATGGCGGGCAAACTAGTTTCAATGTGGGCAACTCGCATTCATAAACCCAATATCGCCAGCGTGGACCCCACGCGGAAAGTTCATGCACTGTGGAGGTGCAAGCTATGCGGAGCACGCGATGCTGTGAACTTGTGATGGAACTGTGGGCTTGAACACGATGTGATTGATGTAAACTATGGTGCGCAAGCTATGCCGTGCACGCTACGAAGTATGAACAAGGGGTGGAAGATATGGGGTATACTCTATACGTGTAAGCTGTGCCGAGTTCGCTATGCAATGCAAGCTATGTGGTGCACACTATGTGGTGGATGATGTGCCGTGTAAACTCAGAGCACGGCCACCCAACGGGCAAAGGTGCTTACTGATTATGACGGGTCTCACTGGTTCATAGGGTATCTTACTTGTTTCCCAAGCTGTCTTTGCACGTTGGTGGTCTTACTGGCTCTACCCAGGGGACCGCACAGGTACGCCAGACTTTCGGCTAGCGCACGACCCTGGACGCCTCGTGGGAGCCTCGCGCTGGGAGGGTGCGCCGAGGCGTCGCCCGGCGCCCGCTCGTGGGCCTCTCGTGGGCGCCCCGCGCTGGCGGAGGGGGGGGCGGTACGCCGAGGCGTCGCCTGGTGCCCGCCCGTGGGCGCCTCGCGGGCGCCTCGGGCGGGGGGTGTACGCCAAGGTGGCGCCGGGTGCCCGCCCGTGGGCGCACGACGTGGGCGCCTGTGGGCGCCCCGCGCTGGGGGGGGGTGGGTACGCCGAGGTGTTGGTTGGTGCCCGCCCTTGGGCGCCCCATGGGCGCCACGAAGTTGGCACCGCGTAGCTCACTCCACACGGCGTCACCACATAGCTCACACGGCATATGTTCCACCGCACGGCACGCACTGCATAGCTTACACCACCGAGCTCAGGTCACACAATTCACACCACGTAGCTTACACAGCATTGCGTATGCCACGAAGCTCGCGCCGATTGGTTCACACTACATAGCCCAAGCTGCCCAGCTTACACAGTACAGTGTACACCACGTAGCTTACACCGCATAGCTCAAGCACCATGTATTCTGCACCATAGCATGCACGACCTGACTTGTACCACATAGCTCATATCGCATGGACTTCGTCTGCACAATGGGATTACTTACTGCTTGGGGTCCACGCTGGCTAACATGCCGTGTGAGCTATGCTATGGTCTGAGCTATGTGGCGTGAGCTATGCTATGGTCTGAGCTATGTGGCGTGAGCTTTGCTGTGATTTCTGAACGTTTACAAATCGATTCAGGTGGCGTGAGCTATGTGGTGACGTCTATGCTGTGTAAGCTGTGTGCTGGAAAACACGTTGTGTGAGCACTGTTATGTCAGCTATGTGGTGTGACCTATGCGCTGAACGCTGTGTGGTGCAGGGTGTGCGGTGCAAGCCATGCCGTGCAAACTGTGTGGTGTAAACGCACGGGGCGCCGACGAAGCGCCCACCGGGCGGGCACAAAAAGAGACCTCGGGAAACCCACCCCAAGCGCGGGGCGCACACGAGGCGCCCCTGGGCGGGAACCAAACGACACCTCGGGAAACCCAGCCAAACGCGGGGCGCCCACGAGGCGCCCACCAACCAGGCACCAGCCGAACACCGAGAAACCGATCCAGCTTCGCAAGTAAGAAAAAATGGAAACCCTGAGTGCAAGCACTGTTTGGGAAAAGTGGCTCTCGACTTAGCACCGCGCGCATGTGTTCAATCCCCCAGCAATTTAACAGATGGCGGGCAGGTCAGTTGCAATGAAGGGCCTTTCGCTTTGGAGCCGCGGAATGTCGCATTGAAAGCATCAGCGTGTCACAGAAATTGAAGGAGACAATTTTCAACATGGCCTTATCACCTTGGCACCAACACCCACACACACACGGATGGATGGTGGCCCGTTTTCAGAATGGGGTTTTCTCTGTTTGGTGTCCATCAGTGCTCAAGCCCTGCGTGTAAACTCTTGAAACAATAACGAGAATGGAATTCCATTCTTCTCCACAAGAGCCGTCCGCTTGAGACTTCGAGCCTCACGGCCCGACGAGTTAAAATGTGCAACAAGCCACAAGGCAAGAAGGCAGCTCCTTTTCAACATTTGGCTCTGGCGTGCGGCTTCCTTGACATGTGTCCCGACGTGCAACGTCGTGCAACAGCGAGACGGATGGAGCATTGCTCCTTTTCAAAAAAACGGTGCCCTCGCTGGAGACCTCCTTAACTTTCTCCTCAATCCAATTCAAAAACGGGGCCCTCGCCTGAACGGAAGGCCCCAAGGAAACTCGTCTTTCAAGGGGGTGGGCCCGAGGTGAAGAATGAATTCATGGATGGGCGTATGAGGAGACCTGGGGCAGGAGGGTGTACTACCGCATCGTTGAGGCAGCCTGGGTTGGCTCTGGTCTCCTCCTCGTCGTCGTTGTCGACCCCTTTCAAGGACCCAGGGCGACTTCGGTGTGTTGTGGGCCCTGTGGAAGCGCCTCTTCGCGATGGCGACCTGTGGGCGTCTGAAAGCCAGCGAACACCAAGCGAACCACGCCAGGATGTGCCCCCTCCCCCTCCCCCTAACCCCCTCTGCGCGTGGCTGACTCCCTCCGTCATTCCCCTCCCCCGCCTCCTCCCGGCCCCCTCCTCCTCCCGAAAAGCAAGGGGGCAGCGGGAATCATGCCGTCTCTCAGCCCCTTGTCTGGGGGTCTCTTGAATCGGCGCCGAGCCCGGGGGGTAGTGAGAAAGAGCGGGCCTTCTCAGAAGGCTCGGAAGTCCCCGAGCCTTCTGAAAAGTGCTAGAAGCCCTCCCCAGAGAGACAGAAAACTTCTCAGAAGGCGCGAGGGCTTCTGGGAAGTCCCGCCGCCTTCTGAGGAGGCCTTTTCTTTCTCACGTACCCCCCTCGCTTGCCGATGATTGAAGGGCCCTCGTCACCACGGTCGGATCCGCCTCGCCAGAGCGCGCTCCTGGAGAGGACCAGGTGGATGAGGAGGGCAAGGAAGAGGGCCTCCAACTCCTGCCATCCCCTTGAACCTCTTACTCCCCTTTCTTCCTCCTACTCCTGTTTCTCTTCCCCCCATCCACCCCATCTCCTCCTCCGCTCCTCGTCACCTCCTCCTCCCCCGTCCGTCTCCTCCTTCTCCAGGGGCTCCCTTTCACACAACATTGACCTGCTGGCTCCGGAAGACCCAGAAACACCAGGCGAACCACACCAGGGATGGCGGCAGTATCACGAACAGAGCAACCGTTGGAAGGCTCACGTGGGCGAACAGATGGAAGCAGAAAGAGATGAGCAGATCCGCCACCGCGCATCCGCGCATGCAGCGCGCCGCGCTTGTGAGACCGCCACCATGTGGGCGGCAAAGAAGTGGCCCTGCGCACAACGACGTGCCGACTTTACTCAACGGCCTGTGCATGCCGAGAACGCTGCACACTACGGGAAAGAAAGGCGGGGAGCTAATGCGCGAGTATCCACGCAGTCAATCCCCTTTCCCTGTGCTGTTCCAGTGATGCTGTAGGCGGCTGTCGCTATTTTGATGGGCCGATCTCAACCTGGTCGCATTCAGCCCCATGCGTTGCCCCCACACCCAGAGCCCCCCTCCCACCCCAGCAGCGCGGGGACGGAGATGCGCGGCAACGCAGCTGGATAGATCCACACAAATAGCCAGGAAACGCTATGAATCTCGATTGAGTCGCTGACGGCCTCCTCCAGCTGCAGCGACAGGTACGCGCTGAAGTCGAAGGAGGCCTCCTGGAGCTCCTCCTCAAGTTTGTCGTAATACCCAGGGTCGCCGACGCATATGCCACATCTCTCTAACAGCTGCTTGTTGAAATGCTCGTCCTTCTCGTGCATGAGAATGAGGTTGTCCACGAACTTTGACTGCATGCAACGGTACTCGTGATCCACAGGCAGCAACCCCCACATGGACGGCGCCTGCTTCAGCAAGGAGAGGTCGTCTCCCATGCGCCGACGTTCCATGGTGGTCTCCATGTCAATGTAACGGATGCTCTCCCACGTGCGGATCTGCCTGAAGAGTCAATGACACTGAGACGTCGTGTGTTGTCCTGCGTGGGGCCTCGGTCCTATCGACTGGACCCCATCCCTGGCACTGGTTTCACATCGCGTGCCGTTTTTAACAGCCCTGGGGAGGAGGGGACGAGGAGGAGGAGGACATCTGCCTGACGCAGCCATGGACGAAGCCGAACATGAGGACAAAGTACAAGCACATTCCTCATTGAAGACAGGCCAAGTGTGCAAGACAGCACATCATGTAAAGATCGGCAGAATGAAGGGGGAAGATGAGGACCTGGACGAGGAGGAGGTCTTCCCAAGTTCTCAGGTGCTGCTGTGTTGTGTTAAGTCTTCAGCGACTTCCGAAGGCTTCTAGAGTCGAGCGGCTCCGAGGAGTTACCAGGGCTCTTCCGGAGCTTCTGAAGATTCTCCAAGCCTTCCTGAGGCTGCCTGTCCTGGGCCCCGAAGGAGTCGGCTTCTGGACGCCAGCAGATTCCTGCGAGACCCGTGCTTCGTGCTGCATTGTGATCCGACGCCCCCCTGGGGCCGCGGGCAAGGCCGCGCACGCGGGAAGCGAAGCCTCCGGGATCAGGACCCCTGCTGGTCTTCGCAGCGAACGGCTGCGGCGCGCACAAAGGTGTGGTATTAGGGGGGGGGGGAGGGCTTCTCAGCAAGAGGCCGCTTCTCAGAAGGCAGCAGCCTTACATCTGCAGACAAGGCCGCGCCTTCTATGAACGAGGGGGGGTTCTAAGAAGCTTTCCCCCCTCTTCGTCACCACCCCTGCGCGTGGCCGAGCTGGAGCCCTCTTCGATGGCACTCCTCCGAACAAGGAGAAGTGCACGATCTCGAACATGTGGAACCAGTCGAGCCCGCTCTTCGGTAGGTGGAGGCAGTCCGACTCCTCGGCCAGGCGCCTGTCTCTCCTCATCCTCCCCCTCGTCGTCCTGATCCTCCTCCCCTGGGAATCGCCCGTCTACACACTAATCGTGGGTTCCTACAGGCGCCACTGGCCCAACGTGGCCCCAGCTTTTCGCTCAGTCTTGGAGCCCCTGGAGCCCTCTGAGCCTCGTGTGGGGTGCTCTGGGGACCGCGGGGGCCTTCCTGGACATCCTGGGGGCACCTTGGGGCCCAGGGCACTTCTAGCCAAACCCGAAGTAAGGTATTTGGATCCTGTCCCAGGGGGCTTCGCAAAAAAACCTCAGGACAATATGTAGTGTATAAAATTCCAGCAAGTTCTCTGGGCGATAAGTGTGGACCCCAAACACATACGCTGTGCTTGGGCCGCTATTTGCCACCAAATAGTGGACAGACAGAACGTAATATGTTGGTCATGCTCATGGCCCAGAACATCCTCTTTAACTGGGCGCCCGGAAGGCCAGGGGTCCACGTCGCGAAATCACGGCGACGAAGACTGCCCGGGCCCTGCTCATCCACTGATCCTCCTCCTCCGGGCGCACACGCGGGGCACACCTGTAATACGACCCACCGTCTGAGCAGCCAGTCGGCAAGATGTCCACGAGCTCGTCAAAGAGGCCGTTGTACTCAGACGTGAAGACGAGGAGGGCCAGAAAACCCAGGGTCATGAATTCAGTGCCCATTCGACTCAATAATATCACGCCCAACTGCTTATGCTCCTCATGGGGATCGTGTCCGTGGCTGTCCTCGTCGTCTTCTACACGCTTCTTCGCGCCGTACACAAATGATGTCCTCTCGACCCGGTGGGAGATGGTGTGCCACACCATGTCGAACACGTTTACGATCGGGATCATTGCCAACAGCACACATACCTCGACGAAGGCAAACTCGTGGTCATACACGTACCAAGTATCCCCGCTGCCAGCCAAAGCACGCATCATCGCGGCGAAATGCCTGCTGGGACACGGTCCACTGGTCGATGGAGCCCGACGCCTTGAGCCGGAGTGACAACAGGAGGGTAGCGGGCGGTGAAGATGACTACAACGAAGGTAAGCCGAGCGCATGTTTGCCAGCGTGGACACCAAACAATATGTCATGGCACCCTCGATGTAGCGCAATCTATGTGGTTCAATCGATCGTGGTGCAATCCATGTGGTGCGATCCGTGGTGCGGCTGCGATGTTTTCGTTGCAAGCCGTGGGGCTCAGTGCAATCGATGTGGTGCAAATATTGCTTGAAGAACTTGGGGTCGCCAACTCCACTGCACGAACAGACGTCCTACCCACCCACACGCAACTTCTTGGCAACAATCAGCTGGCCCAGTCAGGCGAGGACCCCTATCATGCAGAATCACTTGGGCGGTCGGGTGATGATGGTGACGACGTCAAAGGCGACACCTGCGGTGGTTATGATTGCGGTGACGACGATGACGAGGTATGGCAACAACGATGACAATGATGATGACGACGGTAGTGATGTTGACGATGACGACGGTGATGATGGGAAGGATGATGCCACTACTTACATGGTCACGCTGGCGATGATGATGGCGATGGTGCTGCTGAGGCGGATGAAGAGCTGCGCGTGGCGTGCGCAAACAATCCGACAGATACTGGATGAGCAACAACTGATGTTCACACGTTTTGAACACATGCAACTTGAATTGCTTAGACAACACATGGTCGGGACATGGTAGAGCCCGTACTCAACTATTTGACAATATTGGAGCGTGCGCGATGATTGCTGAATGATTTCGACATGCGCTCGTCTGTGGTCCGCATGGGCCCGTTTGACACAGAATATCAAGCTACGAAGATCCCTTAGGGGGTTCAGCGAGTGCGCGCCTGTATTACAACAACTGTAGCTGTGATATCCTGTGTTCAGTGATACGGAGGCAGTGCACATGACGTTGGCAGAAAAAAAAAAACGCTCCGAATCGTGCTTGACCGTGGTGTAGGGAAGGGTGAACAGCGGTCTGGCCAGACTGGTATCATCTGAAACTGAATGATGGACGACCTCGCATAACGTCAACATGAACAGCACATGCGCGGAGAAGGGCGTGACGTATGCCCTGAACATGGGGATTGGATATGATGTTCTCAAGGTGTAAACTGAGGTGCGCATTCTATGTGGCTCGGACTGTGGTACGCCGTCTACGTAGCGTCGTCGTCGCCGTCGGCGGTGGCGGCGGAATCGGCGTCGGCATCGTATTCGTGGTGCGTGCTGCTCTGCTCGGGACTTGCTCCCCGTGTGCAGTGGCCACTTCTTCTGCTCCTCCTCCTTTTCCTCCTCATTTCCTCCCTCCCTCCTCTTCCCTTCTCCTCCTCCTCCTGCTCCTCCTCCTCCTCCTCCTTCTCTTCCTCTAATAGGTTTCGAGTTATAACTCGGGCATCGCGTGGCACGTCGGGACGATTCTGGCACCCCAGGAACGCCCGCGACGAGGCGCGACTGATGGTAGCCACCCCAGGCACCGAAAACCTCCGAAGACCTCCTCCTCCTCCTCCTGCAACTTCCCTCCGCGGCCTCCTCGCTCCTCCTGGCTTCTCCTCCTCCTCCTCCTCCTCCTGCTCCTCCTCCTCCTCCTCCTCCTCCTCCTCCTCCTCTGGAAGGAAGCAGTGGGAGGGCGCGAGGAGGATGAGGACCTCCTCCTCCTCCTCCTCCTCCGTCTTCCTTCCTCCCTCCCTCCTCCTCCTCCTCATTCTCCCTTCCTCCCTCCCTTCTCCTCCTCATTCTCCCTTCCTCCCTCCCTCCCTCCTCTCTTCCCCCTCCTCCACCATTCCTCTTCATGATAAATTTCTCCTCTCTGTCACACCCCGAGACGTGTCGGTAAGGCGGGCCGGGCGTTTCACCTGAGACTTCCCCACAAGGTGTGATCCTTAACCATAAGCCTTAAATTTGAAGGTAGCTTACAGCTTCACGGATGGAAGGCGGGTGGTTTTCTGAGTGTGGCTCTCGCCTTAGCGCTGCGCACACCCGTCCAACCTACAAGAGCTTCACGGATGGAGGGCGGTACCTGTTCAAAATGTGGCTCTCGCCCTAGCGATGCGCACACCCGTCTAGAAAAACATACAGGAGCTTCACGGATTGAGGGTGGTACCTTTTCAACATGTGGCTCTCGCCTTAGCGGAGGAGAATGGGAGGAGGAGGAGGAGGAGGAGGAGGGTGAGGAGGAGGAGGAGGAGGAGGAGGAGGAGGAGGAGGAGGAGAAGAGGAAGCTCCCACAGCATGCCCAAGAGAAGGAGGAGAGGGAGTAGGATGTGGAGGGAGGAGGAGGAGGAGAGGAGGAGGAGGAGGAGGAGGAGGAGGAGGAGGAGGAGGAGAAGGAGGAGAAAAGGGAGGAGCAGGAGAAGGAGGGCGATCAGTAACGAGGAGGAGGAGGAGGATGAGGAGAGGGAGGAGGATGTGGAGGGAGGGAGTTGGCGAGGGAGGCCGGGGGCACGGGAGAGGGAGGCCGGGGACCGCCGAGAGGGCGAAGAAGCCACTGTGGGGGCGCCGGGGCCCACGCTGCGGCCGCGGGCGCTCGACGCACCCCTCTCGCGCGGAGGCCCGCGCTTACTCTCGCTCCTCCTCCTCCTCCTCCTCCTCCTCCTCCTCCTCCTCCTCCTTCTCCTTTCCTCCTCCTCCTCCTCCTCCGCCTCCTCCTCTTCCTCCTCCTATTCCTCCTCCCGTTCCTTCTCCCATTCCTCCTCGTCCTCCTCCTCCTCCTCCTCCTCCTCCTTCTCCTCATCGTCTCGTTCTCGTCCTACTCCTCCATTCTTTCTTTTTATGAAGGAGACGTTTCGGGCTCGAGCATTTCTCGGGCCTTGCAGGGATCGTTTTCGAAGCGCCAGCAGTCCCTGCGAGCCATGGGAGTTCGGTGGTGCTGATGAATGGCGAATTCACCAGGGGTGCGAAGCTGAAGTCCGACGGCGCCCTGTTCGTGGTGCAGGTCGATGCCGATGTCGTCAGCTGGCGCTCTGAGGTGTTTGCCGAGCAGGACTCGCACGCGATCGTGGACCTGGATGCGATTGAGGCCCCGGTGGTGATCAAGGGCCTCGAAATGCTCCAGGACCTGGAGGTGAGCGCCGTCATCATCGACTACCTGGAGGTGAACGGCGTGAACTGCGAGTGCCTGAAGGTGACCGACATGTTTTGCGAGTGCATGGAGGTGACCGTCCCGACCTTCGTGTGCACGGAGGTGTCCGTCGGCATCTACGAGTGCATGGAGGTACCCATCGACATGGTCGAGTGCGAGAAAGTGATGGACGTGATCCTAGGCCTGGAGGCCATAGTGTGTCTGGAGGGGATCCTGGGCCTGGCGGTGGTCAAGGGCCTCGATGCGTCCGTCGGTGTTCCAGGGCCTGGAGGTGACCATCGTGATCTTCGTGTGCCTGGAAATGGCCATCAATGTTCTCGCGTGCTCAGAGATGACCGTCGTCAATGTCGTGCGCCTGGGAATGATCGTGCACATGGTGGACCGCAGCCTGGACCTCCCCAGCTCCCTGATGAAGTTGGAGGTGACAGCCGTCGGCTTCGGGTGCGTGGAGGTGCCCTCGTGATCCTGGGCCTGGACGTGGTAGGGGGCCTCGGCGTGGGCGAGGGCCTGGTGGCGATCAAGGGCCTGGAGGTGTTCAAGGGCGCTTGAGTGGCCATCGTGTTATTCGTGCTCCTGGAGGTGGCCGTCGTCCTTTTCGCGAGCCTGGAGTTCGTCAGCTCCGAGTGCCTGGAGGTGACCGTCGTGATCTTCGTGTGGCTGGAGTTGACCGCCGTCTTTGTCGGATGCCTGGAGGCGCCCGTGCCGTAGGTAGGCGCCGTGGGCATTCTGTCATTGCACTGTCAGCCTCCATCCTCATTATAGGAACGAGGATGAGAGGACGTCCCACTCGTCTAGGCGGGGTGTGAATTGTTTATGCTATGCTGCGCAGACGCCTCCGCCTGTTGATGTGTCCAGGCCCGCGTCGTCGCAGCAACACTCAGGCCTCTCCGCCCTCCCTCAGAACGAGAGGATGGCGGCTTTGCTTGTGAGAGTGCAGGCCCGTGAAGCGGCATCGAAGGATGCCAACGCGGGCTAAGGCATTTGTTGTGCCTCATCTGTGGCTAACCTGTTGCCGCCTCTGCTGGCTCTTCTGTCTCAAGCTAAACGTTGCTGTTCGGGCCAGGTAGAGTCGAATGTTTTGCCCCTGGCGTGCGCTCTCCGCGCGCAGGCACGTGAGGCTGCAGCCACTGCTGGCTCTTATGTTTTCTCGCGTTGCCTGCTATGGCATTGCGAGGCATATCGCTCATAGCTCAACGGTGAGCTCGTTTTTGCCTCCATGCATATGCTTTCGACTCCTAAATGAGGAGTGAATCCTGCTTGCTTCCCCAACGGCTCTCGCGGCAATGTCCTGGTGCCTAACCGTTGGCTGGAAGTGCGCGTGGCCCAACCGTGGGCGTAGGTTGCTGATGGCAGCCGGCAGGGGACGCGAAGCGGCTGGGCGTTGACGCACGGCGTGGCGGCCGTTTGCGCCCACATGCTCGTGTGGCGCTTTTCTCCCGTGGGCGAACGTGTCCAGCGGTCAGTGTGTCTCCTGCTGGGGCTGGCGACGGCATGGCAGGGTCGCGGCCCACGACCGCGGGAATACTCAAGGTGTCTCAAGCTAAACGTTGCTGACTGGTTCCGCCTCCTCGGCCTGCAAAGGAAATGTTCTTATGAATAGCTGCTCCCTGTCGCACCCCGAGGCTGGTCAAAAGGGCGGGCTGGGCGTTTCGCCTGAGACGTCCTTGCCACGTCTGACCCTGAAGCTAAACAACTGACAACATTTTCACAAATGGAAGCGCTTTTTCCCAAACATGCGGCCCTGGTTTAATCACGCCTTGAAGGCAGGTGGTTCTCAGAATGTGGCTCTCGCCTCAGCGCCGCGCGCATTCATTCTAACAATTGCAAGAACTTCGCGGATTGACGGCGGGAGGTTTTTTCAAACAAGTGGATGACGCCTTCGCGCCACGCACACTCGTTCTTTGTTTAGAAATAGAAACAAGGAAGAGCTTCACGTATTGAAATAGAACAAAGGAAGAGCTTCACGGATTGAGGGCGGGTAGTTGTCAAAATGTGGCGCTCGCCGTAGCGCCGCGCACATTCGTCATACAAATTTGCAAGGGCTTCGCGGATTCAGGACGGCTTCTCTTAAACATGTGGCTCTTGCTGTAGCGACGCGCACACTCGTCTTAATGGCCAACGTGCCAGAAAGAACTGGTCCCGTTGACTCGCTGTGTCGAAGTCAGAAGAATGGCGTCAAGACGCTACAGTCATGTGGATTCGTGGCGTTGGAGTCCCGAGACTGGTGCTTCGGCACGCTTCAGGGTTTTCAAATTGTTCTCCCAACTTGGCAGTTCCCTCAGTGGAAATGAACCTTTGTAGGGACATGCGAAGACAAAGCTTGGAGGGAGGGTGCATTCCACAATCGTTGATGAGTCTCGGGTTTGCACTGGTCCTCCTCTCCTCCTCCTCCTCCTCCTCCTCCTTCTCCTTCTCCTCCTCTTCCTCCTCCTCCTCCTCCACCATTCCTTGTCCTTATGAGTAACTCCTCCCTGTCGCATCCCGAGGCTGGGCGAAGTGGCGGGTCGGTCGTTTCGCCGGAGTCTTCCTCACCACTTATGACCCTGAAAATGTTATAGTTGGTAACAGCTTCACAAATGGAGGGTGGGCCGCTTCCAAAATGTGGCTCTCGCCTTAGCGCCGCGCGCACTCGTCTTAAACACCTGTAGAGCTTCACAGACTGACGGCGGATCGTTTTCAAAATGCGGTTCTCGCCTGAGCGCCGCGTAAATTCCTTTTTAAACCTGTGCAAGAGCTTCACGGATTGAGGGCGGGAGGTTTTCACAATGTGATTCTTGCCTGCGTTCCGCGCACATTCGTCGTAAACATTGCAAGACTTTCACAAATTCAGGGCGGTTCCTTTTCACAATGTGGCTCTGGCCTTAGCTCCGCGCGCGCTCGTTTCAAACATGTGCACGGGCTTCACGGATTGAGGGCGGCTCCTTTTCAAAATGTGGCTCTCGCCCTACCGCCGCGCAAACTCGCCATAAACATGTGCAACAATATTTCACTGATTGTCATACTTACCGTACAAGAAACGGTGCTTTGGAAAGGCTCAGGCTTGGCAGGGCGCTACAGGTACGCTGATTCGCGGTGTTGAAGTCCCACGAACGGTGTTCAGGCACGTCTCAGAATCGTCTGGGCGCAACAGTCATGTTGACTCGTGGCCTTGAAGTCCCGAGAATGCTGTTTTGGCACGCTTCAAGATCTTCAATCG